CGCCTTTGAAGCCTCCCAGGCCTGGGGCTGTAAGGTTCCACAGCCCCAGGCAGGGCGGCCGGGTTTCCCACAGGGCATCCCGCACTCCCAGCCTACGGCATCCAGGGGACTCACTGCCCTGCAGTCCCCATGCAGTCAGCTGCCCTCCGCAAGCCCCAAAGAGCCCAGAGGCAGACTTTGTGTGGGGCCCAGGCGATGGTGGGCCCATGAGGGTGAGCAGACAGCTCCCTCCCACCTGGGACCCTCCACCACTGTCTCCGGTCTGGAGTCCCAGCGTTCACCCCAAATGACAAGGGGGCGGTGTCAGAACTGATTTTATTTGGATAAAGGACTGAGGAGTCTCATTGGTAACCAAGATGGAATTCACAGTATGCTGTTGCATTCACACTTAGAAAATGTATCTCTATGTACAGAATTTGCAAATAGATGGAAACACACATTACTTTCCAAGTACATGTCTCTCCTCTCTGGGAGAAAAAAAAAAGGCCATCCAACAAAGCAACCCTTCAAAATAATTTTAATACAAAGGATGCAAATATCTGCAGATGAAAATGGTTCATCTGACCCACTGGGAGTCATGGGACATCACTGAATGGGGACAACGAAGACGACAACAGCTGGACTTCAGATGGAACTGGACTATTTAAAATTGAGTTTTCAGGAAAAATAGGCACTGATTTCTAAAAGGAAATTCACTCCTTACTGAAGCTATTTATTGAGCCAATATGGCTGGTTAACATTTCACTAGCGTAAAGTAACCCAGTGCAGGACTCGGGCGGTGTGAGCCGTGAGCTGAAACCGTGTAAAGAGACTGGGAGGCGAGGAGAGGCCACGCTGAAGCCAGCTGTCCCGGCCTCCAGGCGTGAGGACCAACCCCATTTGGGCCAGGGGTCCAGTCCCTTCTTTCCATACTGCGACTGTCTAGCATTATATAAGGTACCCTGCTGCTTACCCACTTAACTAAAGGTGACTAGAAAAACTTGTTCAAAAACAAGGGGACGGAAGGCTCCTGTTACCTCATCCAGGCGGCCCGGCCCAGCCCCCCGACGGGAGGCATGCCGGGTGGAGGGATGGGGGGGGGCACGGGTGGCTGGCCCCCGGGGGGGACAGCGGGCGGAGGGTAGCTGGCTGGTGGGAGGCCCAATCCTGGAGGGGGGTGTGGAGGGACTGCGTGGGT